ACCTTTTTTCTCAAGTTATATGGCAACTTTTTTCTCAAGTTGAACTTATAAAAAACACAGTTGCAGATCTGTGTGACATGACAACTGCTGCTGCAAATCACTGCCTTAATTTAAAATTCGAAGCACTGTCTAGAATGTATTAGTACATATTTATGAGTTACATTGTCCAGCTCCACTTCAGTGCATAAGTGCAAAAATCATCTAAAAAACCTTAGCTAGATATTGGTGGGTGGGTGGGTGGGGAATCAGTACTGTGTTAACAAACTTTCACATATCTTGAAACACCTGCTCTTAATTCCTATAAGGAAGCTTAAGTGTCTTAGGCTACTGATAAAATGTGAATGTATAATTAGATTTTTATGAATCTCACCTGGAACAAATTAAAAATGTAACAGCAACTTTTATTCCAGCCCTTTTTTTATATAGCTTGTAGGCAAGGAAATCTAGTACAATTCCGATCATAGCAGTTACTTTTTGCATTATTCATCAGTTTTCTTGCTGAGTGCTAAAAACATAGTTTTAATTCTTATTTCTAAGTAGTTCTTTGGAGAACTAAGAAATGCCACTTTACTGCTATTTTCATTTGCCTTTTCCATCCATGGCACCTTCATCAAATATTGTGGTTGATACACTCAATCTATATTTGTTTTGTGTTTCAATTTTGAATATTTTAATTTTAATGATTGTTTTTATTTTTATCGTTTTTATATTATTTGTATAGTTCCGAGTTGCTTCATGAGATGGATGGCTATACAAATTAAATAAATAATATACTGCTATTTTGTTTCCTCTTTTAATTATTCTACTGTAAAAACTTATTTCTGCATGAGCTGAGCCAATGAGTAATGCAGCTTAATAATTTAAAACTATAAAATTGTTCATGTAAAGCAGTGTTGTCTTGGACCCTCTTATTAGATTTTATTATAGACACATATAATAAAGCTAGGGAAATTGCTTTCTGCAAATACTGCAGAATATTCAACCCACGTGGTATCAGATGCATCATTGCAAATAGTAAACAAAAAAAAAAATCACAATTTTTAGTTAAATCTAGCAATCTGTACTGTATCCCAATATAGATAGTCCTCAACCTAATGACTACAATTGAGCCCAATATTTATGTTGCTAAGTAAGACACTTAAGTAAAGTTTTGCCTATTTTACTATCTTTCTTGCCATATTTGTTGAGTGAATCATTGCAGTTAAGTTGGTAGCACAGTTAAGTGAATCTGGCTTCCCCATTTGCTTTGCTGTCATAAATACAAGCCAGTTGCCAGGCATCTGAATTTTGATTCTGTTGCCATGGAGATGCTGCAACCATCGTAATTAGAAAAATGGTCATGTCACTTTTTTCAGTGCTGTTGTAACTCTGAGCGGTCACTAGATGAACTGTTATAAGTCAAGGCTTACCTGCAGTGTTAAAGGGCTAGCTGTCAAAGTATTGCATCACATTTAGAACTAATTTAGAATTAGATTTTAAACTGGTCACAAAGACAATGCTAGACCCAGTAGTCTAAGAACGGCCGGATCAGAAGGGACCTTCAAGGTCATCTAGTCCAATCCACTCCCAAGGCAGTTCTCATGACAAATGGTTGTCTAATCTTTTCTTGAAATTAAGCACCCACAATTCCAGGAGGCAAGCAGTTCTATACAGTGTTGTAGTCCTCCATTGTTTCTTCCTCTTCCTGTATTATCCGGTAAGGAATATCTGGGTGGGAGAATTTGCAAACTGGAAGCTCAAAACCACTCAGCTTCCAAGTTTTTTTTTTAAAAAGAGCTCCACAAATGGAATACAAGTAATCCTCGATTTAGGACTACAATTGAGCCCAAAATTTCTGTTGCTAAACAAGGCATGCTGAGAAACTGCATTCAGGTAAGCCAGCGCCTAATCTCTGGAAACGTTGCTTATTCCAGCTGTAACAGCATGGAGTTTAGGAGCCAGACTTGCAGAAGAAAAAAACAGAGAAAAAACAAAAGAATAATGTGATCCTTGGTGCTCTCTGAGCTTGGTTGTTTTCTTGCACCCAAGTTTTGTGATCCAACTATGGAACATCATCAGTGTTAGAAGGAAGTGGGGTTTGCAGAGAGGAGGATTTTGGGATCCTCAGTGCTCTCTGAGATTGGTTGTTTTCTTGCAGACATTTCATTACCATACTAGGTAATATCATCAGTGCTATGAGGGAATGGGGTTCTACTTTTTAGCATTGATGGTGTTTCCAGTTGGGTCATTAACTGTCTGCAAGAAGAATCAAGCACAGAGAGCCCCAAGGACCCCACAGTTGTCGACCTCCTCTTCCTTCACTCTGCAAACCACACTTCCTTCTAGCACTGATGATGTTGCGGGTAATGAAACACCTGTAAGAATACCTCCAATCTCAGAGAGCCCCAAGGACCCCATGGCCCCCCTCTTCTACCCTGCAAGCACACTCCCTTCTAGCACTGATGATGTTACCTGTACCTAGCTGGGTGATGAAATATTTGCAAGAAGAGCACCAAAGAAACACCCTGAGCTGCAAAGGTTCGCTTCCAATTAATGGCTCTTGTGTCCTTCAAAAGGGCATGGAATGGTGGACGAGACATTTCTGGTCTTGAAACGAAAGAATTTGAGGCACCTGGCTTAGTATTGGAGGATGGGTGCTGTGGAAGTGGGGAAAGATCTAATGTGCCTCTCACTGGCTGTAGACCCAGATTCTGGAAATAGAGATTAGAGCTCCAGCCAAAAGGGAAGCAGCAAAATGTATTCCCACCCCCACCCCCCACATTGCCCCAGCTTCAGGTGGTGTGGCAGGAAAGAGAAGGAAATAGCAAGCTGTGTTATATAGCAGGGAAGCACTCATGTCTTTTCAGAAGTAGTTCCTCAAATGACTCCCTTGGAAATCAATGCCGTAATGACAGGGCACGCTAAGTACTGAGCTAAATATACTTCTGTAGACCTAATTAATTTATAATAGCATACATACAGTGCTTGGGAAAATTTTTCAGGCTAAATATTGCAGCTGCCTAGTTATAAACAATAGGGAACTGCCCTTCACAGCTCGGGTGAAAACTTCCTTGATAGTTGATGATCTTTTGCCATGAATAAAATGCCGACTCACTGTTCTGTGATACCTGTTCCCAGGTAATCGCAATTTGTATTCCCAAATCATCATTCTAACATTTCATTGCCCGTCAGAAAGTTGGAAAGAGCATACAAATGTCCTGTGCTATTAGTTCCAAAGCACAAGATGGGCAGCATATAATAAATTTAATAAATAAAAATAAATGTTATACAGGCAGCCCTCGACTTAACAAAAGTTCAGTTAGGATGCGGTCAAAGTTACAATAGCACTGAAGAAAAGTGAATTATGACCATTTTTCACACTTCCAACCATTGCAACCTCCCCATGGTCACGTGTTCAAAATTCAGATATTCAGCAACTGACTCATATTTATGACGATTGCAGTGTCTCAGAGTTATGCAATTCCCTTTTGCAACCTTCTGATGAGCAAAGTCAACGGGGAAGCCAGATTCACTTAACTCTGTTACTCACTTAACTACAGTGGTTCACTTAACAACTGGGCCAAGAAAAGTTGTAAAATGAAGCAAAATTCACTTAACAATTGTCTCGCTAGCATCAGAAATTTTGGGCTCCCTTGTAGTTGAAAGTTGAGGACTGCCTGTAATAAAACTAATGTAATGTGCTTCTCTGAAAAATTGGCTGCCAAGAATGGACACTGGCTAACTATAACTCGCTTATTATGATGTCAGAAGAATAAAGTTGAGAATCCCCGAAGCATTGTTAGCTAAGCATCTGATGATGCTTGGGCTCTAGAATTATGAATAGCCGCCTTTGAGAGAATCATACTGGTCAAACTGGATTCTGCCAACTTAGAATTAGACTCAGTTCCTAGACTCAGAGAGGGAAAATGCATGCATGGTACAATAGATATTATTTTCATTAAGAAAAATTTCATATAATCATCTGATTCATTCTACTGTTAATAATATTCCTAGCATAGTTTGTTCTAATTAAGTATGAATAATGTTGAATTGCATTATGCCACAATCATGGGGGTTTGTCCTAGCTACTCTTTTTCTCATTTAGGGAACAGGAAAAATGTATTTAATTTTCATATTTTATATTCTGTGTTGGAAGTCCTTCCTTCCTTCCTTCCTTCCTTCCTTCCTTCCTTCCTTCCTGATATATTTATAAATATAATTACAGTCAATAAACTTTAAGTCGCCTGTTTTGTCTTTTAGGAGTAACATGGGTTTCAGACCCATATCTTTTAATGTCCTTATATATTTTCACCATTTTACTGTAGTTTCAAATAACGTCATTATAATAATTTTATATTGGAGCAAATGGCCTGTCTCCTACCAAATATTTTTTACCCTTTGATGTAAATACCTGCTGCTCCCTTTGTGTATACATGGCAATTTCATATGCATAAATACTGTCTTCTAAACTGCTGTTTACATGCTCAGCTTCAGTTTTGAACCTTTTACCACAAATTGGCTATAGTTAATCCCCAACTTACGATCACAATTGGTCCCAATATTTCTGTTGCTAAGCAAGTCCTTTGTTTAATTATTTTTGCCCATTTTACGACTTTTCTTGGGACAATTGTTATGAGAATCCCTGTGGTTGTTAAGGGAATCTGGCTTTCCCATTGACTTTGCTTGTCAGAATGTTGCAAAAGGGGATCACGTGGCCCTGGGACACTGCCACCATCATAAATATGAGTCAATTGCCAGCATCCAAATTTTGTTCATGTGACCAGGGGGGGGTGCTGCAACAGTTGTGTGAAATATGATCATAAGTTGCTTTTTTTCAATGCTGTCATAACTTCGAACAGTCACTGAACAAATGGTTGTAAGTCAAGAATTACCTGTACAAATGTTTACATGAGAAATCCCCCCCCCCTCCCCTGGATTTCCGAGGGCCATTAATATATACTTTTGGGGCTAGCTAGGATCATGACATTTTATTGAGCTAATGAATCCCCTTTGTCTTCCAGATTTTCTTGGCCAGTGGGTGAACGACATCCTCAAACATGGGAAATATTTTTGCCAACCTTTTCAAAGGCCTCTTCGGCAAAAAAGAAATGCGTATACTTATGGTCGGACTGGATGCCGCAGGAAAAACTACTATATTGTACAAGCTTAAACTCGGTGAAATAGTAACAACCATCCCTACTATAGGTAAGAATTCAAGCATCTCTTAATTGCAGTTAAATCTGGGTTTAAAATAAAATTACGGTATATGGATACGTTTTGTACAACTCCTGATAAAAATGTAAGATTAGCTTGTCTAGGTCACTCATTTGGTTTTCCTTGCATATATACCTATAAAAGGGGAAATAGAAGCGCCACCAGTGGCACAGCTTACCCCCTACAGGCGTAGTGCACCCTCTGTGCTTTTATGCCTGTGGTGGTACAGTGTTTAGAATGCAGCACTGCAGGCTCCTCCTGCCAGCTGCCAGTGTTTTGCAGTTTGATTCTGACCAGCTCAAGGTTGTCTCAGCCTTCCATCTTTCCGAGGTCAGTAAAATGAGGATCTCTCTGATCTTGGAATTCTATAATATTTCACATGTGTATGTGTAGTTTTTAAATATATTTATATTTTCTTTTCTTCAATAATGTTCAATTCTCAAAAACTGGTTGCCTTGACGAATCCCTGCAATTTTCTTGCCAAAGTTTTTTCAGAAGTGATTTGCCATTGCATCTTTTATAGAGCTGAGAGAGTGGCTGGCCCAAGTTCACACAGTTGGCTTAGTATCTCAGGCGGGACTAGAACTCCCTGTCTCCTGGTGATTGGGCAATAGTTGCCCAGCTGGCTTTGTGCTTCAGCAAGACTAAAACTCAGTCATTTGGTTTCTTCTCTAGTGCCTCAAACGTTACGCTAAATTGGTTCTCAGCTTTTTAAATATCATGTTATGAAACATCTATGTAGAAGGAAAGATTACGGTTTTTTTCTTTGTAATATTGCAATGCTTGCTTATAAGGAGAAAGGGTTGTTGAAGACCACATGCGATTGACTTACCTTAAATCAAAACATTTATCTTTTGCCTATTAACAGCACATTCTCTCTCACTTATTTCTGTTTAGGTTTTAATGTAGAAACGGTAGAATACAAGAATATTAGCTTCACGGTGTGGGATGTCGGTGGACAGGATAAGATCAGACCACTCTGGCGCCATTATTTCCAAAACACACAAGGTGAGTTGTTTGCGTTCTGCAAGACCCGCATACGACGTCTATCTATTTAATCTGCATCAGCATTAAATTGCGCCAGAATTGCATCGAGATCACCAGGAAATCTTGTAAACTGCATGAATCAAATGGAAATGTGAAGGTCACAGGCAGTCCTCGACTTGCAACAGTTCATTTAGTGACCATTAATCCCTCAGTATTTTTGCTAAAGTAGTTGAAATGGAAGAAGGTCTGCAGATGTAAAAAAAAAAAAAGATGTTGAGACTCTAGAAACAGAGCACAGAAGAGCAACAAAGATGATTAGGGGACTGGAGGCTAAAAAATATGAAGAACGGTTGCAGGAACTGGGTATGTCTGGTTTAATGAAGAGAAGGACCAGAGGAGACATGACAGCAAATATCTACCTATATGTGAGGGGCTGCCACAAAGTAGAGAGGGTCACGCTATTCTACAAAGCACCAGAAGGCAGAACAAGAAGCAACAGATGGAAACTAATCAGAGAAGCAACTTGGAATTAAGGAGAAATTTCCTGACAGTTATAGCCAAATGTCTATGGAGATCCTCAGTCATCCAGGTCATGGTTGTCCCAAAGGTGCTTTTTCAAAAGACAGCTGGTTTCTGGTTTTTCTTCAAAGACATTTCGCTTCTCATCCAAGAACATCTTCAAAGAAAAACCAGAAAGTCCAGTTGCCTCCTGAGAAAGCACTTTTGGGATTCCTGGGAGTGAGAACAATTAATCAGTGGAACAACTTCTAACCCTATTCAGAAGTTGTAGGTGCTTCAACACTGGACGTTTTTAAGAAGAGATTGGACAACCATTTGTCTCAAATGATATACCGTTGCCTGCCTCAGCAGGGGATTGGGCTAGAAGACCCCCAAGGTCCCTTCCAACCTTGTTATTCGTTGCTAACTTTAAAAATGGTAGACTTCAGCTCCCAGGGGGACACACATGCACACGCACACACACGCACACACTGCTAGCTAAGTTGGCTGGAGAGTTCTGGGTGGTAAAGTCCAACCACCTCGAAGCAGACATAGTTGAGGAACAGTGCAATTCTGCTTTGCTGTTAGGAGCCGGGTATTCCGTACCTCAAGTTTCCAAATTAAATGGGTCAAACAAAGGCTTTGGCTTGATAGCTGCCAGATTCACATAGCCTGTTAAAATATAAATGTGGATTAAGAAAATACATGATTTAGCATAATACCCAGAAAACTTGAGCCATAGACCAGGGAAAAGGCTAATCCACAATTCTGCCTTTGACCTGATCTTAGGCGATCCTTTGTGCCTGGCACACTAGCAGCCTTTGCTTAATCGGGTTTGCCTCTTCCAAACACGAAACACTGATCTTTTGCTAAATCAAAGAGAAAAAAAACAGAGAAACATTTGGCGTTAAGAATGGAAGATTAAATGCAATGTTACATAGCAGTGTTTGTGAGGTGTTTCAGCTTCTTATCTGAGTGTAATTGGTAGTTGATGCAAAAAAAAAATTCGTCCAGTTGGTACTTTTCTTACATCCTTTCTTCTCTCCCATCTTCTCTCTTTCTCTGTCCCTCCCTTCTCTCTCCTTTGTTTCTCTTTTCCTCTCTTCCTCTTTCCCTCTCTCTGCCCTCTCTTCCTTCCTCTCCTCTTCCTTTCTGTCTCTCTCTTCTTCCTCCTACCTTCTGTGTCTCTTCCTCTCTTTGTCTGTCTCTTTCTCTCTCCCTCCCTTCTCTCTCTCTGTCCTTCCCTCATTCCTGTGGTCACACAACCCCTTTCAGGGTGATCTTTTAATCACTCTACCAGCAGGTTAACCACATCAACGTGTTGCTGATAAAAAGTTTGAGCAGTAAAGTGGGATGCATGCAAACAACAGTGGAGGGGGGGGATGTGCTGTTTTCTCCTGCATTGTGAAACTGTTTATACACAAACTGTTGGTCTTAATTGCCTTGTGTACAATCCTCTTACCCAGAATCTTTTTATTGATTTGTTTGTCCAATTTGAAGGCCACCCATCTGTAAGGGCTGATAGTTCATTGACAACATTTTGTCTCTTCCCCTTCGTCCAGTTTCCAGCTTTGTCTAAAAAAATAATCCTGTTTCTCTTTCTGTATATTTGTTCCCCAAAGTCTGTAATTCTCTTGCATGAGGCTGATATTGCAGCATGTGAAATTTTTGAAGCAGGCTAAGAAGACCAATCTCTGCGCTGTGTGATTCACTTGAAACAGTAATTTACACCCTTGCAAAGTTTACTGCCTTTACTCTCTCGTGTGAGTAGTTTTGAAATCCAGTAATCAAAGAAAATTGGATCAAGGTACATGTAATTGTGGACGCTATTTACAAACACCCAGAAGTCAATTTCATATTGCTTGAAGCCTAATGTGGCAAGATTTTTCTCTCCTTGTCTGTGACTTAAATTATAAATATAATATTTTTTTTCTTCATAAAATGGAGCAATGTTGACCGTAAGTCCGGCTTACCTACAACTTGAAGGTGAATAGACTTCAATTCCCGAAATTCCCTGACCATCCAGTTCATGCAGGCTTTTCCTTTTTCTCCCCCTCCTCCCCACCCCCCACCCAAAAGGTCTAGGCCATCTGGGAATTTAACTCCACGTTCCTGAAAGTGGGCAGGGTTGAAAAACACAGTTCTAGGTGGCTGTTTGCTAGAACCTAGGCATGTTTTTGTTTAACTTGCTGTTTCCTTTCAGGCTTGATCTTTGTGGTCGATAGCAACGACAGAGAGCGAGTCAATGAAGCCAGAGAAGAGCTTATGAGAATGTTGGCAGAAGACGAGCTCAGAGACGCTGTCCTTTTAGTGTTCGCTAACAAACAGGTAGGTGGGAAGAGATGACCGAGAGAACCATTCTTCCTATTTGAATGTGATAAACAGTAGCAGGAACTGGGGATGGCCAGTGGAGAAAAGAAGGACTAGGAGGGGGGACATGACAGAAGGATTCCAGTATTTGAGGGGCTGCCCCAAAGAAGAAGAGGGGGTCAAACTATTCTCCAAAGCACCTGAGGGCAGGAGAAGAAGCAACAGGTGGAATTAAGAAGTAATTTCCTGATTGTGAAGACAATTAACCAGTGGAACAGAAGTTGCCTTCAGAAGTTGTGGTTGCCCCATCACTGGAGGTTTCTAAGAAGAGACTGGACAATCATTGTCTAGAATGGTATAGGGTTTCCTGCCTAAGCAGGGGGTTGGGCTAGAAGACCTCCCAGGTCCCTTCCAACTCTGTTATTCTGCTACTGTTAACCCTCCTATTTGTTGCACGGTCTTATTTTAGAAATCTCCCCGACGGCTTGTTTTGTGATGATGAAAAAAAAAATCAGGGAATATTCAAAGCTTCAGCTGTATGGAAAAATATCACAGGGAAATTTTTACTTGTTTTTTTACTTGTTCTGAGGGATTTTCTTTCAGTTGATCACTTTACCTGCAACCATCATAAATACGAGTTGGTTGCTAAAGGTCCAGTTTTTGATCATGTGACTATGAAGATATGCTTCCACTGTAAGTGTGAAAAAACAGCCGTATGCAGATGTGGGATTCAGCTGATCGGACTGGTTCAGACAAAACTGATTGTTAAAATACTAGCAGTTTGGCAAACTGCTGGCTAATCCCATCACTGGCTGCCTCCGCCTCGGCTCATTTTTGGGGTCATTTTCAGCCATTTTTCGGCTGAAAAACTGCCTGAAAATAGCTCAAAAACAGGGTAAAAATGGCTTCAAAAACAGATCAGGAAGGAAGGAGGGAGGGAGGGAGGGAGGGAGATGGGAATGAGGAAAGGAAGGAAGGAAAAATCACCATTTACTATTACATATATAATACAGAATGGTGAAATAAAATTGTCTGGATCATATGCTACTCATGTGCAAAGCAAGCCTGCTATGTCTCAGTATTTGGATTTGTACATGACAGGGGACACTTCACACAGCAAAAATTCAAAGTGTAGCTTATTCATCTTGGCCAGCAGCCTTGCCCCAAAACCTACTAGTTATGTAGGATCACAAGGTGGTTGCTTTGTTCTCCACTGCTTAGAAATAATTAATAATCTTAATTTTGCTTCCAAGGGATTACTCACTCAAAGCTTCATCAGCGCTTGCAGTGTGCCTACAATTATCTAATAGTAAAATCTTATAACTACTTGCACAATGCAGACACGTTCACTCCTAAGAACAGGCAGGTGCTCTTCCATTTCTAGTGAACTACACAGTGTTTGCCATCCCTGAAATGATATAAAGTCTATTTTCATTATTGGGATATTTTTTTTTGGTACAATGATAGCTGAACCCTTTAAAATATGCTATGATAGGCTTACTGCCATGGAAGATGCCTTGAGGAACGTGCCGTTATGATTATCTATACCGTACCTCCAGCCAGCTAAAGAGGTATCTTGAGGTTGTCATTATCTGTTCCATGGTTTGCCCTCTTACCTCAACACAATATCTCAGGATGCTGCTGGCAGTGACAGAATCGGGGCATGGCACCTGCCCAGCTCCAGTGGGCTGTTGATGCGGGTGCAGGCAGGCCTCTCTGCATTGGGTCACTGGCCCAGCCATCCAGGGGGGCTAATGCAGCCTTAGCTTAGTCTCTTTCAGAATTGCATGCACAGAAGTGTGGCCAATCCTCCTCCTCCTGCTATGTATGTATTATTTTGGGGGTGCAAATGGGCTTTAATTGTAAATGGCTTCTGAGGAGTCAATGGGATTTATTGCCTCCGCCACCACAGGTGTGAAATGCTGGCTGTTATGACACCATATATTACTTTTTAATAAGCTCAGCCTCCAATGTCTTACTTTCCTTGGTGATGGGAGCAGAATGCTTTGCTGGTCTCTCCCCATCTTTTCACTGGGGGGCCGGGGGGGGGGGGGAGGGGGGGGTGGGTAACCCCTTCCATTTCTGGAAGTGTGGTGTATGAGGCCGGGGCGGGGGGGGGGGAGGGCGGGGGGTCGGGGTGGGGGCAGGGCTGGATAGGATGAGCGATGGCGAGTTGGCCACGCCTAGCCAGTCATATGACCACCCGACCACGCCCACCCAGCCAGTCACTAGGGCAGAGAAGCGGTTGTTAAATTGTTTGAATCCCACCCCTGGTCACAGACGACTTTTTTCATTGCCATTGTAACTTCGAACAGTCACCAAACAAATGGATTTCAGTCAAGGACTATCTGTATACCCAGCTGATGGCCTGCTGGCATTAAATATTAGGAAAGTGATAGGTGTAACACCTGCCTCTTGATTATAGAATAGGTAGTCCTCACCTTACGACAGTTCATTTAGTGACCGGTTCTAAATTACAGTGGCACTGAAAAAAAGTGACTTTGCCTGTTTTTCACACTTGTGACTGTTGCCCATTAGTCAGTCACGTGATTGAAATTCAGATGCTTGGCAATTGACTCATATTTATGACGGCTGCAGTGTCCCTGGGGTCACGTGATCCCCTTTTGTGACCTTGTGAGGAGCAAAATCAGTGGGGAAACCAGACTCACTTTACAAACATGTCGCTAACTGAACAACTGTGGCAGGAAAGGTCGTGAAATGGGGCAAAACTCGCCTAACGAATGTCTCACTTAGCAACATCCATTTTTGGCCTCAATTGTACTCGCTTTTTAGGAAGGTTGCAAAATAGCGCCCCCCCCCCGCTGTGATCAGGGGTGGGTGGAGGGTGGGAAGCGCCTTTTCTAAAGCCAGTTGCTTCCCTTTCCAGGACCTGCCGAATGCCATGAATGCTGCGGAAATCACAGACAAACTGGGGTTGCATTCTCTCCGCCACAGAAACTGGTACATCCAGGCCACCTGCGCCACCAGTGGGGACGGCCTCTATGAAGGACTGGACTGGTTGTCCAATCAGCTCCGAAACCAGAAATGAAGCCCTGAATTATTCCTCTCTTCTCCACCCCTCTCCACCCCTCCTCTTCCTCTCCCTCCTCCTCCTCCTCCTCCTCGCTTTACTCTAATGTGGCAACCATGCTACTCTGTAGTATTGAGTGCCGGAAACTGTTTTCATCATCTCTTCTCGTCCACAGGATTTGTCCTTCACCACCACCACCACCACCACGCTGTACATGTGGCAAAACCACTCCAGGAAAGAAAAAAAAAACAGTTTTAACTTTTTATTTTCTTATTTAATGTAAATAGTTCTTGTTTTTCCCACAAGGCAGTTTCTGGTACTCCTATGCAATGTTATTCGGCTCTTTTTAAAATGATAAAAAGGTTTGGTTGTTTTTTTTAACCACCACCCACCCAATAACTTGTGAGTGAATTCAGGAAAAAAAAAAAGGTTGCCAGGAATCTGGTTTTATTTGTGTCGTGTGTGTGCGTGTGTGGGGGCTAGATCCAAACGCGATCCCTCTCGGCTTGTGGATCTGGGCTGAGGCCTGATTTCCACAGCTCTGTTGTTAAGCCTGGGTATGAGCTCCTTTTCGGAAGACGGGGCTGGTGGGAAGGAGGGCGGAAAGGCCGGAACCCAGGACCCTTTGCGCGATTTCTGCAACTGAGACGTGAAGAATTGCCGGCAAGTTTCCCTTGTCCTGGATCATAAAATACCCTCTGTCTTCTTTCAGCGCTTGGCCTTTTCGCGACTGCAGGCGGATGGGAGACTTTGCCCAGAATTAAAGCGAAGTCAGTGGAGGTTGCAGATTAATGAGAAATTGGGACACCCCCGCCCCTCCCCCCAGCCCCTGTACTCTTTTTAACTGCCCCTTAGATTTGGATTTTTAAAAAAATCACTTTTTACCCTCCAACCCATGAGTGCCACCATCTTCCTCTTCCCCTCTGTCGCTGGGCAGCCTGTCTCCTTCAAAAGGGGAAAAAAGAAAAAATCCTCTTAATTTCTCCAGCCTAGAATGAATTTTCCAAAGACGGTCCTCTTGCACGAACGTCACAGCTGCAGCCACAAGTACTGTAACTTAAATAAGAAATGTCACACAAGCTTTCCGTTGTCGCATCCGGGAAAAGGGGGCGGGGCGGGAATACCAAAAACACGGGAGGGTTTGGTGATCGGACGCCTTCCATTCTTAGAGACGTGTCTAGATTCCATTTTTTGGAACGCGAGAAGCGCCCTCTTTGCATCCCTTCCTACTGCGAGGTTTGAGATTTGCCATCCCAGATTTTAACTTTTTGTTTTTTCTTTTGTATTTTGATAATTAAAAAAAAAAACACTGAAGAAGCTGGAGCTGTTGCAACTCAAGAAAAACACGATGAGAACTGGTTTGTTTAGTGTTGTGGACAAGAAAAAAAACCCCTCTCCTTGTTTTCTTTCAATACAGTAATCGACTGTTTTGTATACTTGTTTTCAGTTATCATTTCAACAAACGAGCACTGTAATTAAAGCTATTACAATAAAAATCTCTTAACTATTCCCCCGAGGTGTGTGTGTGGTTTGGCTTGTTCGCGCGGGCTCTGGAGTTTAATAATCGAGTAACGACACTTGCCTTGGCTAGTTGGGGGTTTTTAAGAAGAGATTGGGCAGCCATCGGTCTGAAATGCAGGGGGTTGGACTAGAAGACCTCCAAGGTCCCTCCCAACCCGTTTCTTTCATGTTCTGAGTGCTGGATGTAACAAGGCACTGGCTGCGTCCACTTACTTTCATTCCCATTGGTTGCAGTACAGAAGGGTTGATGCTCTACTACGAATTATCTTCAACAACCATAATTGAGCCCGGAATTACAGTCGTAAGTTGAACCCCTGACAGGACCGGAAGTCATTTTCTGGCCTTTTTCTTGGTTGTTAAGGAAACCCATTCATTTTGAATGGGTGCTTGGTTTGTTTGTTGGTTTGTTTTTACCGAAAACCGGTTTAAAAAAAACATTGTGAATTGCAGTCACACAAGCACAAAACACCACAACTGGTCACAAAGCTGGCAGCAGCCCTCGCATGACAGCTGGGGGTGCTTTACACTAGACTGACAGTTGCAAAACAACCAGTCATTAAGCGAGGACTACCTGTACCTTTAGCTGAAGAGGGAAATGCCTTGATTTTGTTTTCCACACAAACCTGTGTCTCCTCCGAATATTGGAGGGCATGTGGACTAGAAACTTGGAAACAGAGGTTCTGTTCCCAGCTTGTCCATAGAAGCTCCCTCTGTAATTGGGCCAGGCTGCCTCCACACAACAATGGGAAGAGTCCTGGAGGATTTGAAGCTGGGTGGTATTGGAGAAGTCACAACCGCTGCTTTATTTAATTAAAATTTGGTGCTCTATGGCAGGAGATACTCCCTGATCAGGTGCTTTTTATCTATCAAAAAACCTGCCAACAATCATTAGTTTTTAATTAGAGGTGCAAACTTACAAGAACATTTTGCAGATTAAATTATTGGCAGGAAGCCAGAATCTCATTGGAAGAAAAAAAAAAATATCAAAACTTTTTCTCTACTATTCACTTGCAACTATAAAAATAGAAACCTTCATTAGCATGATGGACAAATGGCCATTAAAATGCCCCTGGCATCCTGGTGGGTAAAAAAATAGTTTCTAGGCCAGATTATCACAAGCAGGTTGGACTAGAAGACCTCTAGGGTCCCTTCCAAACCCTATTCTATGCTCTAAAATTAAATCTGAAGGAGTTTCTTTGTAGAAACACCCATTTTGCTAGCAGAAGAGAAATTAATCTGGTGGGGTTAGCGGGCATGTGTTTCCATCCCCTGTTTGCATGTAAATGGTATCAATTGTGGTTCGACAACATCTGCCTGCAATTGACTAAGCCATGATTTAACCATGGTTGTGGGGTCCTTGGTGGTTTTCTTGCAGATGTTTTCATCTCTGTGCAGAAATTTCCAAGGTACATCAACTGGGAATCTTCCCTGATTGCAGTATTTCTGTTATCTTACATCTGTGGCTAAATTCATAATTCTTTGCAAAGGGACTGAAAAATGGGTGCTTCAGAATTGGCAGAGCTCTCTCTTCAGACATATAAGTCAATTTCCAAACCAATTTTAAAAAGCAAATTTTAAACTGTTTAGAGTTAGAGCAGTGTTTCTCAGCCTTGGTGACTTTTAAGATGTGTCAACTTCAACTCCCAGAATTCCCAAGTAGCTATGAAGAAAGAAAGAGAGACGGAGGGAGGGAGGGAAGGAGAAGAGGGGAGAGAAAGAAACCTGACAGAAAGAACGAAGAGAGGGATGGAGAGGAAAGAAAGGAGGGAGGAGAGGAGAGAAAAAGTGAAAAAAGGAATGAAAAGGAGGGGAGAGAAAAAGAAGAGAGGGAGGCAGTGAAAGGGAGAGGGGAAAAATGAGTTGAGACTTAGAAAGGAAGGGAAAGGGGGGAAAAAGGTAGGGATAGGAGGAGAGAAAGGCAGAAAAACAGATAGAAAAGCAAAAGAAGAGGGAGAAGGAAAAAAAGACAGAAAAAGAGCGAAAGAAAAGGAAGGAAGGGGACCCAACTTTTTCTAGTACAGAGATAATCATGTGATACAACAAACTCAAAAGTTTAAATGAATATTTAGAATTAGAACTCTTTATTGGCCGTGTGATTGGACACACAAGGAATTTGTCTTGGTGCAAATGCTCTCAGTGTACATAGAATAGAATAGAATAGAATAGAATAGAATAGAATAGAATAGAATAGAATACTTTATTGGCCAAGTGTGATTGGACATACAAGGAATTTGTCTTGGTGCAAATGCTCTCAGTGTACATAAAAGAAAAGATACATTCGTCAAGAGTCAAGAATCATCAGGTCCAACACTTAATAAATAGTCATAGGGTACAATCAGCAATCAAATCATACTAGGAAACAGTCAGTAAAATACCTTAAAATACTAATAACCAACATTCTGAAAAACAAACGCTCATAATATATTCTTCCTCTAATTTTAATCTAATTCCCTCCGATCCCTGCTCCTCAACTCCCAGGGTCAAAAGTTGATTTTACCAACTCCTTTTCCAGCTGTGCTAGACTTTTCCTGTATTTGATTCTCGGCTGCCCCCTACTGGATCTGCCCGATTTTCAAAATCTTTCTTTGGCCAGTTTCCACCCACCCACCCACCGTCCCAAATTTCGTTCTGTTGTGGTCAGTTTTTGAGCAATTATTGTCTAGATAAAGTCTCTGACTCCTTCCATGCGAGTAGCCCTTGATTTATGACCACAATTGCGCCCAAAATTTCTGTCGCTAAACGAAACATTTGTGAAGTGAATTTTCCCGTTTTACATCCTTTCTTACCCCAGTTTTTAAGTGAATCGCTGCAGTTGTTAAGTTAGTAGCACCGCTGTTAAGCCAGGTGAGGACAATCAACCAGGGGAACTGCTTGCCACCAGAAATGGTAGGTGCTTCCATCGCTGGAGGTTTTGAAGAAGAGACTGGGCAGCCATTTCTCTGAAATGAGATAGGGTCTCCTGCTTCAGCAGTGGGTTGGACTAGATAACCTCCAAGGTCCCTTCCGGCTCTATTCTGATTAATTCATTGATTGTACTTGTCCGAAAGTTGCAAAAGGGGATCACGTGACACCCCCCCCCCAGGACACTTCAGTCATCATAAATCCGAGCCAGTAGCAAAGTTCTAAGTTCTCCCATCCTTCCCGCTCCCCCCACCCCTCCTTCGTTGGCTTGGCCCTCCCACTCCCAGAATTCCTGTGGAAATGGTGTAGGGCGAGGGGTCTCCAACCTTGGCAACTTTTAAGACGTGTGGACTTCAACTCCCAGAATTCCTCAGCCAGTTTGGGAGTCCACAAGTCTCTAAATTGCCAGGGTTGGAGACCCCTGGCGCAAGGCATTCTGGGACTGGGAAGAAGTGATGGAGGAGAGTTTGGTGCTGAGAAGTTTTTGCTTTTTGTTTTGGTCTGTTTTAGATCCAGCTAATTCCTTGAAGGTGCAAGGTGAGCTATGATTGCGGTCCCTCAAGCCGGGAAACTCTTAAGGTGTGTGGAGTTCAGCTCCTGGAATTCCTCGGGCAGCTTGTGGGATGGAAAATTCTGGGGCATGAAGGCCCCCAGGTCTTAAAACATGCTGGCTGGAGAATTCTGGGAGTTGAACTTCACCCACAGATGCTGGGG